TAAAGCCAACGGTTATCTGAAGTTCTTCATATGTGAATGCCCCAGGAAAACTCATTGTGAGCGCTCGAGCGGAAAAAAGCCGAAGTCCTGACTCACGATCCCCTGTCTGACGAAGGTTTTGGCGACGACGGCTAGAATCCTAAAACCTATCGGGATTAGCGTGGCTCATAATCCAGAATGCACAATCAGACAACAAGTCATGCGTTTCAAGGACCCGTTGCCACTAGCAGAACAAACAGCAGTGATAAACATCATACCATGCCAAAACCGTGATGCGAGGTATGTTGGTGAAAAGAGCAAATGCCCTGACACAAGATTGCACGAACGTCAACTAGCGAGGATAGGCTCTCTCTGGTCTGTGGCCACGCACAACAGCTGAATTACAGTTTTGCCTTTGGAAAGCAAGCGTGATCGGCCGAGCCAATGAGAAGATAGCCAGGCTGGTGTTCAGAAGTCGGTTCCCGAGTGGTACTCTCAATTGAGATCAATCGAGGCCGCAAATTTCCCGCACTCTTAGGCACCGTGAGTAGTGTTTCCGAATAAAGCAAACCATGCTGTTCATCTCATGAGACGCGGACACAATGGCTGCTATTCTAAACTGTGATCCAACAGCTTTGGCCACTGGACTTGGGTGCCTGCAATTGACTGATTGGCTAACACTGGCGTAACTGCAGGTGGTTGTGCCGGTTATAGTGTCCAGGCGGCGCTCTCGCGGGAGAACGACGGTTGGGATCATAATTAGCCTGTTGCGATAACCATTTTCCCTGTTGACCTCGCTGAGAGGTAGAGGCCTTACCAGATGCAGCCCTGGTACGTTGGTTTTCGTCCATCTTGACGACGGCCGGTCGTTTTACTCCTTTGATATAAAAGATGGGAGGAATAAAGGGTGTTTAAACAGGCGGTTGGGGGATCTTAGCTCAAAGTGGCACCTCCGCTCACCTGGTAAGATGAATGCCATGCCCCAGATGCTATTTTGGAGAAAACAGGACCACCTACCATCAGAATGGATGAACAGCTATTCCTGAGGACAGAGAAGAACCATCTCGGAAAGAAATCAGTACAGATCAATGACAGTTGTTGACTGTCCAACTCACTATTACTTCAGATTCCCGGCCGACTACAAATCCCCCAGCATCTTCACATGCAGATTAACAAACGCCACTTCCTGCCCTGCTGATCATCATATTCGCTTAAAGCACTCAAAAGCCTGCTCAAGCTAGACGTTCAAATTAGAAGGCTATGGTTCTGGAAGTAGGCCTGCTGAGTATAGCGTGCGCTGAACCTCTTGAACAACTGAAATTAGTGTTTTAATGTGCTTTCAGACTGAAAGGATTGCCCAAGTAACACTGCAAATTCGGTTAGCATAGGAAGTAATTCCCAGTCGGATCGTATGTTGTAGCATACTGGCTGTTGATTGATCCTCTTCCCAGCCATTAAGGATGTTAATTCTTGCGGTCATTCAACCCTACTTGATAGGGTGTGCAATGGGTTAATTTTTATAAACACTACATACACAGTTTCACCTACTCCAAGTTTGGAACCTGCAGGATAATATTCCGCTTTGAAGTCTACTAATACCTGCACGATCTGAAATTCAACTCACACTCTTCACTCACTAAGATTCAAAAACCGCAAGTAAACTCTTTGATCTGGAGCACATCAATGCCCTTCAGGCGTCTTGGTTAAAATCTGCTGACGATCATGACATCCCCTTGTCTTTGTCGGAAATCTGATTCTACCCATACTACTGGCCAATGTGTGATAGCTTGCGAGGAGCTAGATGGAACCTCAATCCACAAGGAAACGAGTGTCCCATGGCGCGATTGGTGACCGCCCTCTGCCACATGACAGCTCGACCATCGGTTTCGATGATGTCCACCGTGTGCCCAACAGTTGCAGCAGCAATGGGAGCAGGGACGGTGACTTAGGCAGTGGTTTATAGTGCCGGTAGACTTGCGTAGCATCTACCTACATTCTCTCCTCCTCCCTCGCCCGAGCCCGGTGTCAAGACAGTGTCAAGAAGACCGGAGACGAGAGAGGCCGCAGGTGGATGGCTCGGACGGATCCTCACCTTGGCGTTCCACCACACCCCCTGGTCCACACAACAAATAACCAGGATTTCAACCAACACAAGAGAGATTTAGAGGCTGGCACGGCCGAAGCCGCACCTGGGCGTGCCGCCAACGCCTGGCTCGGATCCCGCACTGTGATGTGAGTGCCATAAAGGCCACATTAAAAGGGAGCCATTGCAGCCTGACTCTCAGACCGCCTCCGGTCAAGGAGGAGGTCCAAGTTACCCCGTCAGTTGGCAACCTTCCAAGCCACGGCTTTTAGCGCACTGTGATAGCTTCAAGCGCGTCAGATTGGTTATAGTGAGGAGAAAGTGCGCTGAGTCGTCGACCTCACTCTCCCTTCCCACTCCCACACCCCAGCCGCTGTCCGAGCCGGTCAGCAGACTGGAGTGGGGAATGGGCGCGGTGGCTGTCATGGTCGACTGACCATAACTGCGCGCGCCACAGCACGACCTGGCCCCCCATACACACAACACCAGGATTTCACACAACGGGGGATGAACGGCGTGTCTCTCACATGCGTGAGAGTGCCATGGAAGGTGCTGTTTCAGCCCGTTCCCAGCCCACCAGTCCGCCACTCCACACATCACACACATACAACGCGACGAACTGTGTGAACCGAGAGCGGGCGTCAATCAGCAACCTTCCTATATAAACGCATATAAGCAAAACAGCATTGCCGACAGAGACAGGGGAGACCGGAATAGCCATTCTTGCCTTGTCAGCCGTCATCAGCCAGCCACGCCCAACCCCGAGGTATGCAACCCTCAAGGCTCGATCCTGCGACCTGTTGGTCAGAAGTCCAATGTCGTGATCACTGGGCCACGGCTCGATGTCCTATGGATTGCGATCGCATATATCAACAATGGTGTGGCTGAGTGACGACGACTAACAAACCAGACGACCGTTCCAGTCTTCTTTACTTTTGTCGGTAATGCTGTTCTGCCCACGTTATGCGACGCTGTGCGGTTGCTGGCGGGGCTCGAGTGAGAGAGAGCCCTAAGACAAACGGACGAGTGAGTTCCGTAACGCGATCGATGAGTCTCCCTCTACCTTTGTACATATCCCATCGCAACCGATAGGACATCGAGCCGTGACCCAGTGGTTAGGGCCTTAGACTTCTAACAGACATATCGCGGTATCGAGCCCCAGGGGTCACGCGCCTCACGGTTGGGCAAGGCTGCCCGATGACGGCTAATAAACCAGACATGACTGTTCCGGCCTCCCTTGCTTTCGCCGGTAACGTTTCTCTGCCGAAAAAGTTATCGAGCAGAAATGTCTTTCCAAGCTATTTTCCCAAAATGGGTAACCGCGCGACTTCTTACGCCAATTCGCGAGGCACCAGCAGTTAGAACGAGAGATATTTCTAGTATGACAATGAGGCTTCCTATATCTCAGTTGCGGGATAGAGACCCTCGGTTTCGCCTTGCAGCCCCGGCCTGCGTCCTTCGCAGGCGTCCAATTGGCGACTTATCATGAAGACGCGTTGCCGATAGAGACTAGGCAGAGTGCAATGGCCCGTCGTGGCATATTTGCTGTCCTCGGATCTACATCAGCCATGCCCTCCCCCACCCCGTAAATGGCCTAAATAAAACATAACATTTGGATGCAAGGAAATAACCGCCCAGGTTAGCGACGCATTGGTCACTGAAGTCAACTAAATCCTGCTGGGAGCCGACTCAATTACGCGCAATCAACACACAACTGGTCATATTACTAGCCGCTCCAGTCCGCTGGCCATCCGCAACGGAGGAAGCGCTACCAGGCAAGAACTTCCCGACTACAGCTCCCCTTCAGCTGATAGCAGTCATGAGGTACTCAGTCGCCGCTTCAGGCGATATGCGGCCAGCCGGTAGCGGACGTCCAAACGCCGTCTTTCCACCTGTTTGCTTGTACGCGCGGGCCTTGTCGGTTTCTCGCTGTAACCACACCTAAAGACTGTCGAGAATGGCATTCCTGTTTTACAGCTAGACAGGGCTGGTCCTGGCTATGGTCAGGATAACCAACTACAGCATCCACCACCGCGCAGATACGATGGGCAGGCCCCAGTCCAGCCTCTAGGCAAAAGAGCACCAAGTTGGCGACAGTCCGATCGCCGCAAGCGATCACGCCCACCGCACACCCCGTACAGCGGGCGCATCGCCACCGACTTGCAAGTGAACCAGCCTATAGTGAAAAAATTACTTGTACTGAATCTGTCGGACTCTTTCTCCCCTCGGTCACCCTGCCGGTGAGCGCGAGCGCAGTTGCCGACAAATCAAAACAGCCCGTCTGCGCGTGCCAGGCCTCTGCAACGGAGACTCGGATCTCACGTGAACGAGCGTCATGGAGCCCACGCCAAGGTCCTATTGCAGCCTGACTCTTAACCCTCTAGTCACTCCAAAATACTTGACGCGAGTACCCAGCTATTCCATCAGACACGATTCTTAGCTCGTCGTGATAGATTCAAGTGTAGTGAGAGACGCGCTGATTTGCCGCGGGGATGGATTCCCCTAGTCGGCGACATTTTCAATGACTGGCGAACTCCCCCTCCCAAACCTGTCTACTGCATAGCTAGACGAGTCGTCATCAGGGAGGTAGGAGCCTGTGCCCATCGCCCGCTAAGAAAAATTTATGATCAAGGTGGGCACTGGTTTACCTTTGCGGTTCATTTTGAGTTCATAAAGCGAAATTGTGCGGCAGAATTTGGTCTTTTCAGTCTCCTCGACTTTCTGCTAGTGTCTCGGTGCATCAGCTGCATCTGGAGAACACGGGATCCAAATCATGACACAGATCCCCATGGAACTTAACACGGCTGAATTTCAATATACAAACCGAGGTTGACTTCTTATGCACACACAGATATAGTGCAGAAACTTGGTGATTTTATTGAAAATGACATGGTGAGCAGTAAAATATGTCGGAATGGCATCTGAAATCCCCATATTTTCAGATAATTTGAAACGATGAAAAGGTAGTCTGAGGCACGTAGTTCAGCTCGAGTAGCTGAAATCTGCAATGAAAAAGGGTGAGATAAGCAGGAACCTTAGAGAAGGAAGTACCGTTCTGAAGTACCCTGATAATAGTAACCCGTGAGAACGCCACTCGTCTTCCGAAGACAAACATAGTAGAAACCAGAGAAGGAAATGTGTTCACTGGCGCTGCTGTTCGTCGAATCTGGGACTAGAAACTTCTCCTGATGGAAGAAAAGTGCCTTCGTGGGAATTCAGAGAAACTAACCTTCCAGCGCATAAACACGTGATCAGCGGTCTCCAGGGCTGAGTAGTCAAAGGAGTCCTTGTAGTAGTCAGGAAACTTGGAGGGCACGTTTAATTCGTTCTGAAGAGGGCAAGGAAAAAAGCTCAACGTTCAGGCTGTACAAAAATCACTCACACACCCAGTGGCTTCTGTCAATTTCCACAGTGGCATCCCACTTGCCGGTGATGAAGGGGAACTTGCGGCTGATGATTTCGGCCTCGAAGAAGGTGGTGGAGTTGGGAACCTCCTCGGCCAGGTGTTCGATTGTTAGCAGACCATAGAAGGTCTTTTCAGGCAAGTTGGTTGTCTGAAGGAGACAGATTATGGCGGCCCGCCACGTACCTGAATGACAGCCTCGACGTTGTATTTCTTGCCCTTGGAGAGTTGGCTGCCGACAAAGCGGGCACCGGGATGTAGACAAGAGGAGAATGCGGCGCTCGGAGGGCAGGCAGGGCCCAGATTCAGCTCGGATAGACAGGACATTCGGAAGCTATCAAAGAGACCATCCAAATTTAGTGCAAGCTTCAAACAAACAGCAAGGTCTATTCACTGTGAAACCAGTATCCTGTTAGTTGCAACCAGACACCTTTGCTCAAGTGCTACTGCCAGCTAAGAGCAGCGAATCCCAGGATTCAAGGCTCATGCATAACGCATCATAGGAGTTAGGTTGCTGACTGGCCGACGTCAACTGCTATGTAAGTGGTGAAATAAACAAAGGTGGGGAGTAGCCAGGTTGAACATACACGAAAGCTCAAGATGTTCAACAAGTGTTACTTTCAGAGATGAATACGACTTCGGCCCACGGATCACATCTTCAGTATGAAGTTTCAGTTGCGGTTTTATCCCCAGAAACTGACTGTTTACCTACAGATTTGGATGCGTTCGCCAACTGAAGCAGTAGGCCTCGTCCAGGAAAGTCGATTGTAGTCGACTCAAAAGATTTAGAGAATTAAAGGAGAACTACCTAAGGGCATATCTCAAGGATGAAAGGGCACAATGCGTTTAATCAAAGGAATTTGCCTTGAGGCCGAGAGGTATACGTAGGGCTGTCTGTTTAGTAGTTATTGGTTATCTAGAAGAACCCGGTTACGAGATCGGACAATTGCATGCAACAGCAAGCAACCTTCTATGACATTTTTGTTGGTGCGTCGCGACAGCTCAAGAGGGCATTGTTTTACTGTGAGGTAACCAAGCACCGGATTCGAACTGAGCGTGTTTTACCCTTTTCCGCCTCCAATACCAGCCGCAAGCCCGAGTCAAAACAAGTGGTGGCAAGACAGGACGTCGAGGCTGACGGGGAGTAAAGTCCCTACCCAAAAGTTCATAATATGTACCCCTGTGGATTACGGTATCTAAGGTACTTGTCCACCGCGAACTCGACTGCACGGGTCGGCGCGAGAGCAGTCAAGGTTACATGAACGGAAACCACCTGAAGTCCAGACCGCAATAGGCACAATCTAACATTTGCGTCTTACCAGACGAAAAACAAAGCGCTCGCCAGGTTGAGACACGTCTAGGCCGAACAAGGAGTAATTAACCACAGCAGTTCTGGCACATGCTTTGACACTTGACTAACAGCAAACGGAATTCTGCCTCCTACTCCCTCTGACGGCATCAAGTGTCGCATTTAAGTGAGATGGATACAGCGGCAACGTCCTCGGCGTGTTTTTTCAATGGAAGTCGATACGACAATAACTGTGGACCTAAGCCTTTTTTGAATGACTAGCAAGACTGACGACATGACGCTCGGGTGCCAAGGGAGCCAGTACACACCACGGAGATTTGCATAAGCAAACAATCGCGAGACGCGGCAATCTCCCACTCCTCGAGGTGAGAAACAAAGACAGGAAGCAAGCATACTACACACACCAAACGTTCGCGAGTGAGGCCGCGCCCCGGACCAGGAGCGAATGTTATTCCGTTTCGGAAGGACGACGCACACCGGCGTCAAGTGAGCAGAAGTCAGGCGTCTGAGGCAAGACGCAGCGAGCCGTTTTGTTTCGCCTGAACACGATGCACTCCGCTACCTAGTGTGAGAATGAATAGTATTCAGAAGCGCCATCACTGAGGTCTCCTTTGGTGGCCTAAGCCGCGGCATTTGCAACCGAAGAGAGCGGATAACAATCAACACCGCACAGGTCGCAGATTACACGCGAGGCGCCCAAACCATCAGATACAGAATACCGGGCTGTTAGATGATATGATGACTGAGGGCCGATTAGAGCGGCTATCATTAGGAAATCCCACCTGAAATCAGGATGGCCTCAGCAGCCGTAGATACAAATAAGTGGGGAGGAGGGGCGACAGAGAATGCGGTAGATTCATACAGTACTGCTTCGGGCTTCTTTTGCCTTCATTCAGCCAATCTTAACCCTGACCAGCAGCTGGGACCAGAAACACAAACATGCACACAGACGCACCTGGCGCAGTTGGTCCGCCACTGAGATCTACCAGATGGGTCATAAGCACCTCATCGAACCGAAGTTCATAAGTCCTACCAGTTGTAATTCTGTTCGATAAAGATTAAACCGTAGAAGGTTGTCCCTACTACCTGAATAGACGGTCACGATGCTCGAAGTCTTAGTTAGACTGCCCAACCCACCATATGGTAGCATGACTGAACCGGGCATTCCAGGAATGCCCTTCCCAATAGGATGCACAACAGTCCGAGCAGGCGGTTTCGAATGGACGGAACGCAAGATAAGAAGGATCTACAAACCAGATTAGAAAAGGTTTGCCCTGCTTTTACTGAGTGGCTATAGAAGATGCTAGTGTCCACGCCATACCGAACCTGCCCCGTGAGATTGAATCAATGACGTGCTTTTCGCCAATCCCTACTTATCTGTATACTATGACTACAACGGCGTCAACCCAATCCGCATCGCCTTCATAACATTTCTGTCTGACCGAGGGAGTTTCTACAGCCCAAGATCTAAACAGGAAAAAGAAAAACCAAATTAGCTTTCGTTGTGACAGAGGTCGCAAGGACCATCGACTAACTTTACAAAAATACTAGAACACGAGCACCACTTTCAATAATGATGGAGTTTTTCGACATTTTTGCCGGAACACTAGTCGGTGTACAAGAATACTCTAGGGAAGGTGGTATGCCTGAAACCGACCGTATCGAGGTATGCTGGCCGTTCATACAGACGAGACTCGGGCACACCGTATAAACGAGTACCGTGCTGTCGATGCTGCCCTCTCATCAGGTACGGCCTCGAATGCCATAACATAAACATAGGGCAAAACAAAGTCCTGCATATTTTTAATGTCGAGGGACATTTTTCGGACTTGGCCGCATAGTCGGTCTGAGACTATACATTGCGAAATGCAAGGCTATACTCGAGGGCTCCACACCGCGAAGTTCCTTTGCTTACATGGAGGCAAAAGGCTCGAGGTGGCCGACTTCTTTGTTTAAGTCGACTCTCCGTGTTGTAAATAATTGATATAAAAAACGCGAGGCCGACCAAGACTTGCGCTCAACGCGTCCCGCCGGTTCTGAAAGTGTATGTCCTAAAGAAAAAGGTGAGTGTACGAGACTGTCTTGCACGACCATAAAACGTGGTTTCTGTGTGTCCCTAAATCGCAGTATCCACACAGCTAACAGTTGTTGCCTGAAAACATTACTGTGATTCAGGCTAATGGGTCGTCTCTAGAGTGGGGCCTAGCCACTCAATGGGGACACTACTTGGTGCAGGGAAAGTTCGCCGTCCCAAATGACTTGGTCGGGCAAAGCCCCTGCAGCGTCATCTCTTATGGACCCTGATCGAGGTGGCGCAGCCGGTTTAGTTAACAGGGGAAAGTGATAGGCGTAATTTGCAGACCTTTAGGTAGTACAAAACGCTGAACAACGGTTGTTGTGTATGGCTCAAAGCGTGAAGCCAACAAGTCCGTGATTGATGGGGAACCCTCATTCGACGGGAATTCTCTGTGCCGTTACTAGGAATTAATCGGTAACGAGTTTGAGAGCACTGGCGAGAACAAGACAGGTAAAAAGATGTTTTTTAGGCTTTCTCGTGTCTATGATTTCCTCTAAATGGATTTAAAATCCATCAGGCGTGGCATCGCTCAGCGATCATCCGTGCGACTGAAACCCGTTCGCCACACGCTTGCTCTTCCATGTTTTTTTTGTCCCAGAGAGATATAACCTATATCCACGAGCCAGTGGCACCAACTACTTCAATTTCCCATTCAAAGTCAAAAGGACTACGCTTCCGAGCTTGGAGAGTTGACGTATAGAGACGAGGGGATAAAATTATAGGGCCTGATTACACGTAGAGCACGTACTATAAACAGAACAGCAAACTCCATTCAATAAGCATTTATTACTAATCATTCCGCGATTCCGTTAAGAAAAGGTCGCTCTCGCACCAAAGATGTGATGACGTACCAAAGGCCTGATGTGAAAACGGTCCACCCCTACAAAGGAAACAGAATTGCGTGACAAAGTGATAATGACTGAGATACCAAAGGGTGTAAGCCCTCAGATCATACTTATATCATATTCAAGACTGTTCCCTATGAAAGGAGCAAGTCTAGTCAGCCCTTTTACTTCTCATCATAGGGTTACCGACACGCCAGTCACACGGAATACTCACCTCCCAGTCCGAAGGAAGTTCAGTAAGCGCTGCGGGCGTCTTCCTGAGGAAGTGAGGATAGACAAAGACATATATAGATGTTTGTGAATGAAACAAAAACAACTGGCAGTAAACGACGAGGCCATCAGAGGAAATTGTGATTGGCATTGAACCCAGGACGCAAGTAGAATGTTTTCTGCTTGCAAAAGATCGCCTGGGATCTGAAATTCGCCTTTACTCATCACATGGCCAAAAAATATTATAAAAATGCGGGAGATCAGGAGTAGCAGTGTGGCTGCTAAAGAGGGTCCTAATCTGACGAGTCACTGCGCTTTCATGGTTGCCCACTTGTACGGCGAGCGTCCAGACATAACAAGTGTGAGTCGGTGTCAGATTTTTTCGCTGTTAAAGAGGTGGAGGCAGGTGCGATATATCAGAATTGATCTCCTGCTGTGCCGGCGGCAATATCTAAAGAATTCTACGCAGTTGGCGCATACAACCGAGTATTTGAACTTTCCGTGCAGGATAAGGGGGAAGTGTGATGAGAACAACCACACAAATAAAACCTTATTTCACTGAACGTGTCTTACAGCATACTATTGTATGCTGTTCCTTGTTTAACAACGAACGTCGACGTCCGCTATCAGGGATGTGACGAACCTACCACTTAAAGATTCTTAAACTATGTATGGAGTGAAAAATAACAAAGAATAGAGTCAAGTTACGTGTCCAAGGTGGACAACAAGGCAAACGCGCTCGAATACCTGCGAAAGCAGAGACCAGCCCCTTTAGCCAGAGAATCAAACTCCGGGAAATTGACAGCCCAACAAAACAAGCAAATTCAACTAAAGTTTTCGGCGCGACCAGAGCTTCTGAGTTGGTGCAAAGCTTATTTGGAAATTCAAGGGCCCTTAACATCTTAATGCTTTTTTTACAAAAGGGATTGCAGTTATGCATGCAATTTTATCACATTTACTTGAAACTCAATGAAGTGAGGAAAATGTGACCCAATATGTCACCAAATTTGGGTAGGAGGTAGAGCAGAATATGTTTTTATATTTTATTATAAAATTCTTCCGCAAAAAAAACCACTAAACGCCGTGGTACAAAATGAATTTAAGACACATTCAGAATGCTGTAGTCGGTGGTTAGGGCAAATCCTCACTTTAACTAGTGTGGGAATCTGTACTGCGTGCAAGTTCTCTTGCGTTGATTTGAAGTCTAACATGAATCTCTGTGTTTCCTCCTGATTGACAATCAAGGTGAAAGAGGCTGAGTCTAATATGCCGAACACGACTAACGTCATTCATCACCCACCTCGTTGGAGTGAATGATTTGCCCGGGATTGCCGGCAATTGTAAGGCCTGTCTTATGATTTTTTTTATTGTTAATGGTGTTGCTTGTGGTAGTTTTTTCGGTATAGGAAATAGGTTTGTCGTGGCAAAATCGCGATGGATTCCACTATTATGGGATCGCATACGGTCAACTAATCTAATGCGGTGCCAGAGTGTCCTAGGACATTTCAAGCAAGTGAGGTGTATGTAGAGGTTACAGCTACTGGCCCATCTGGTTTAGCCCGCCAGCCGGCGGTAATGTTCTGGCTTGAAGCAGAACTGAGGGACCGATGTCGAAAATGTGCGGAAGCACGTTTTGTCACTCTCCTGAACAACCTTATTTGGATTTAGCTTTCGTTTCTTGGAATGCGCATCATTCCGTAAGTTTAATACCGTTCCTTCTTTGTAGGCGAGTGTCCACCGTTGCCCTACTACGTTGGACCTGCAGTGGTGACAAGCACGTGAATTTATTTATAGGGGGTCGGACTTGCTCTGCACCTATCGGACTCTAACCTCACCCTTTTCTGATCTCAGGACAAAGTCAAGTCCAACCGAGGTGGACTTCGGTGCGTCGGCAACGAGAACTTCAATAAACTAAAATCAGGTGGAGATACTTGTTTAGACGATTCTATTAAGCACAGGAAAGCACAAGCGACCGAAAAGACAGTGACAAAGATTTCTCAGGCAATGCGTATGCCAACCGTGGGTTTTTTCATCCTCGGCACAGGGAACGTGCATTTACCTGGGCTTTGGCAGCCTACAAACAATCGGTGGGAGGCACAGCGTCGACTGGTGTTAATCTGTCGCCACGCAGGGGCCAAACAGAAGGCGCTGGGTTGACCGAATGTGCGATGGGTAAGCAGTCGCGTTGGTGACCATGGAGGTGGACTGTCGAAGGTGCTATGGCTGGCAAAGTTAAAAAGCGTGCTTAGTCGTGTCACACGACCTGATCCCCACTCTAAATTATTGCGCTATGATAAGAGCGGCCCGGATCTCACGCAAAAGGGTATGCCATAGAGGCGACATGAAATAAAGGATATTGCAGTCTGACGCTCAGTCCTAAGAAGAAAGAGGCACCCCGCCATTTGGAAATTTTCCCTGGCAAGACTGATAGCTGGCCGCAAGGAATTAAAGTGTGTCAGGTTTATTAAAGTGAGAATGTGCGAATCGATTCGCTTCTGTCGGACTCTTCCTCTCTTCTTAATCTTACGCACACCTTTCGACTGTGACCCAGTTGGTGATTGAAGTTGACGTGGTGGCTGAAAAAGATAAACAGCCCGTCTGCGCGTGCTACACGTGGCGAGAACCTCACCCCATGTACTGGGTTGCATTAAAATATCTTCTTACCAAGTCAGATGAGCGCGTTCTTGCATACAACGCTTCGTCCGTAATATCGACTCTGACAAAAAGGATCGCACTTTTGCTCCAGAAGGAAGTGGTGGCGCGTATGCGCGTGTTGTGGAATAGGTTCCTGTGTTACTTACTGGCGTACAGGTGCGGGCAGTTGAGGTGTGGCGCTAGGATGGAGTATGGACTGTGTTGTTTCATCGAAAATTCGCATATGGCCGAATAGTCTGGGACAAAGTGCCGACAAGCGGGGCCGGAATCATACTGGCGACCCGAGGCGGTGTGAAGTCGGAGGAGCGCCGTCTTCAGCTCAATGCAACTAGAACACTGACTTGATCTACGTTAGAACAATTTCCGTATGAGCAATATAATCGTGTGCCCCTTCATCTCCTGCTTTTGTACACACAAAGACTGGAAAGTTGACTGTGTACGCGAAAGTACAGTCCGAGTACGTTCCAACAGTAATCCGGTAGTGAAAGGGCCGTGACACTGATGGAATCATCCGTCATTGTCGTGACACTGATAGAAAATGGGTGGAAGTGCACATCTGGAAATGGTCGTATGTGCACCAGCAATTCGTAGTCTACCCCTTCGGTCTGCATCACACGCAGATGACCTCATATAGACTTTACAGGTTTTTATTTATATCAGTTCAGTTTAGTTGTGGGGAATTTAGGTGCACACCGTTGAACTCCCTACTTGTTGCAAGTGAAACGGTTAGGACAGAAACTGAAACATGTACAGTATCGACTAGCGCCGCATAGCTATCGGGACACCTTGGAATTCATTAGACACGTTAAAGACCTAAACCTAAATGGTATGATGGTGTTTTCACTTGATATCTCATCACTCTTCACAGATGTTCCGGTTACAGAGACAGTCGAGTACGTATTGGAATTCATGTTAACTAACCACCAAAAATACGTATTCCGACGAACGCACTCAGGAAACTATTTCTAAAATGCGCACAAAAGTTGCAGTTCCCTTTTGATAACTAAATATATAGACAGATAAACTTGATTGCTATGGGGTCGCCTCCTAGTCCTTCCCTTTTCTATGTCTTTATGAGCAAGCTGGAGAATTTTCAGTAAAACGGGTAAATCAGCAAGCTAAGGCACAACGATCACTGCGCAGGCGATATGTTTGCAATTGCCACTAGATAAACCAGCATAACCACCCATTTTGATGATGTAACTCAACATACTAGTCGACCAGGTTTACGCTGAAGGTGGAAACGGCAGGTTCTCTGCCTTCCCAAGACGTTCTTCTAGGCAGAAGAGCTGACTGAAGCATTCAGAGAAGCACATATCGGAAAGAAGCCTACGCTGAAGTTTCGTGCCCCCTCAACGAAAACGTAGTCCAGTCCGTTGTCTGACGCAAAGGGCTAGAAAAATCTGTTCGGTGGATAGAATTGACGAATAACTTAGAAGAATCTAACAGCTGTTTAGCGAGAACGCGTATCCTGACAGATTTGTTGTAAGGAATCATACCCTATGACCGAAAAACTCATCACACCAACGACGGAAAGAAAACTCTGCTGCAAAAAGCCCCCTTTCAAGGGGACGTGACGAGTGAACTCCTGGAAAGACGCATTGACCAAACCGTCTCAAGAAAATATTCAGCAGCAAGAGCACAGGTACTGTTCTCAACCAACCCCTTCTTACGCGGGAAGGTAAGGATATGCTGCCAGCTCAGACAACCTCCATGTGCAATTACTCCTTTACTTGCTCCTGTGAAGTAGTTTATATTGGTTGTACGAGTCGGCGCCTACCAAAAGAATACGAGAAGACATGCCGAGATGTCTGAGGAAAGGTGAAATTAGTAGCATACACAACTCCACCCTCGCAAAAATGGCCGATTCTGGCATCGTGTGGACCCCAACGAAGCCTACTGTGTGATTTGCAAGGCCCTACCTAATTATCCTAAGCGACTGGGTCAGCGCTTACGAGCAACAACAGGAGCGACTGCCATCAAGCTACAGAGGTTGGTCCATGTGCGCAGAAGAATCTCTTGCACTCTCCGCGTCTACCATTCACAAGGGTTGATTCCTTGCATTCATGTCTCCGTGCCCCCCTTCGAAACCTCCTTGTGACACGGCCCTGCCTAACTCTCACTGCCAATTACCCCCTCCTCCCTCTTATTCAAACGCCCCGCTTGTATGAAAAGACGAACCATAATCGATTTCCCTTATCTCTCACACGTTTTACTTTGTACTTTGTTTTACTTTTACTTTGGGCCCGACTTTGGTTTATTGAAAGCACGCGTATGCTCGCTAAGCGATCGCCTGCACCGTTTCGTGGGAATATTCGCAACTTCAATGTAAATATATGAAAAATCGCATAAGGATACATCAACCAGGCAAAAAATATCAAAGACAATACGAGCTTTTCCCCCGACCGGCATGAAAGTGATTGACTTCCGCCCCGCAGTACATCCTGCACGAACGACAGAACGCCCGTGCGCTCAACACCCATAAATTATGTGAGGCGTCGTACAGAGCCTACCTCTGACGATGAAAGCCTGTTGGCTTTCGAAACTTCAGGCCAGTAAACCCATGGTCCCCGCGATCGCCTCTTCTTCACACGAATACATACACATCAGACGAATAATGTCAGAAATTATTCAGTGCAGGACATGGAGCTAAGTCTCTGAGACATTATGTTTTTATGGTCAGACCCGAAAGTTCAATGAACATATGAGTCGAAGACAACCAACTACTGTGGAATAATCACGGAATTCGCCATCTTATAAGCAAGTAGCACCACAAGTAGTATTACATATGTGTGGCAAACGTATAATACCGTAGTACCTATGTCAGGAGTACGGTATAATACGTTTGTCATATATGTATATATATATTCACTTAGGAATGGGCGCACGTTGATCCACCGGCTTCCCGAGACAAGCCAACTTCTTATGAGTCGTAGGGCCCTATGACCGGGGTCACGAACAGACAACTGATTACCAGACCGGAGTCGGCTAAGCCGTAATAGCAGAAGGGAGCCGACAGAGTCTGAGGGTAGACTGATACATAACTGTTTCGGGTTTGTTTGCCTTCACTCAGCCAATCATAACTCTGACCACTAGCTGAGACCGGAAACACAAACCTGTGTACAGACACAGCTGGCGTGGCGGGTTCACCAGTGTGGTCTACCAGGTGGATCATAAACACTTAATCGAACCGAAGTTCATCCGTGCCTCGCCACCTGCCATTCCCTGTCGTTGCAGATCGGGTATTTATTCGCTCAAGATTGAGCGCACACCTACCCATTGTCACCGCGGAGCTTGTTTGCTCTCTGCAGTCAGTTTGAATACTAATGTGCTGCAGATAAAGTTCTCTCAAGCGCAAATCTTTCTGCAAATGAGAGTTGTAGCCATAAACGCACAATTGCATAAACAAATATTACTGAAATATGCACAGTAACATTAAAACTGTAATAAACGGTTACGTTTGGTGTCTAGATGGCGTCGGACGGATGGCATTATCATGCACAATTACGTGGATGGTGGTCCAGTTTACTTAAAAGCTTATACAGATGTGGACATAATGATACTCACAGGCACACCATCCCGATCTTCAATCCCTATGTTGTAGAAGAAGAACTTCCGTGTGTTCAGTCGAGACCCAGTCATGCACAATTTCAGTAGATGCCCTCGCAGGTCCGCTGTGGTTACTAACTCGAAAAAAGTCACTAGGTACAAGACAGCGGTCCCAAACGCGCATAGTTCGAAATGTCTGTATCAGGTCGCCTGCCAGCTGTCCGTAACACAAAGGAAGGAGATGGGGATTAGATAATGGTGTTTCATAAGATGGTGAACCCTGTCCCACTATAAGTTTGTTTGGACGCTTTTGAACTGTTCACTTGATGCCGAGGTCCTTAACGCCCTAGGAGTTTCAGGCTTTAAAGGTGAAATCTAACTGCGGCCAAACAAACAATCGAAAGACTTTACCGAAGCTATATTCATCAAAGGTGGAGAACGTCCGCTTTACGAGGTACAGGATTGACATCCTGGACATGGCTACCTTCGAACAATGCAACGATGGTGTAGGTGAAATCGAAATCCACACACCTAGGCATTCATGAACGTTCATTTTTTTCATTAGTATGTCATTTTCCGACTCGCAGAATGCTGCGATTACTCTCACCGAACAGCAAAAACCAGTTATTGGACCACTGTTCGAGTCAGTTTAGGTTCGTCTGGAAGCGCTCTTTGTCGGCTTCATGTTGAGCGAGGCTCCACAGACTGATATCATCGGAAAACATTATAATTAAAAATGGCGACATCACAGTCCAGGTTACTGATGCACTCGTTGACGTATATAATGTACAAGGTAGGACTGTGAACGGAGCCCTGGAGAACACCACTCTCAACCGCAACCTCCGCCGACTGCTGGTAACCTAGGTGGATAACTTGAGAGCGACCCATTAGGAAACTACAAATTTACCACAGGAACTTACCCCTAACGGCTGCTCGGTCGAGCATCTGCAGGAGCTGCTCATGTGGTACATTATCGAGTGCCTTCCTAAAGTCAGCATAGACTGCATGCAACGCATTCCCTCCATAAGCAGAGCGAGTCCAGCGTTCTAAACAGCAGGGTAAGTTTGTCATGCAAGACCCACCTTTACAGATTCCAAGTTGAACATCGGTAAGTAAGTTATTTTGCTCTAGGAAGCGCATTAGATTACGCCTCATTAATTTTCTCCAGAACTTTACAGCAGATTGAATTGAGACTGATTAATCATTAGTTGTTTTCAGAGAGCATGCTGCCTCCTTTGTGTAGCAACGGGAACCGTACAGATTCCCAATCGTCAGGTAAGCAGCCGGCTTCGAACAAGGTTGTTAAAAGCACGGAGGGTGGGTTGGCTAGTTCTACAACGAGCTCCTTCAGCAGTTTAGGCAATAGATAATCCGGACCGGGTTATCTTGACTAATTGAGCGCCAACAGCTCTTTACAAACACTTTTTTCGGCAAAATATGTAGTCTCGATCGTGGGTCCTTCCGCCAAGTGGTAGTCAGAAAAAGTAAATTTGCTTCTTTTCGTAACCATGGACTTAAAAATAACGAAAAGTACTCTGCTTTCGCATAGTATTTACCGATTTCAGTTGTGCAGGCTGCTCCTTATGTAACCCTAGAATAGATTCGGATTCCAAACGGCACCGCTCAGTGGGTCTTTTTCGAACTCTTGCTGTGTTCTGAGGATAAGTTGCTCAAATAAGTTCCTTCTGTGCCTTACGTGTATTCATCAAAACAGGGTCTCTGTTAGCAAGAAATTTCTTCAACAGCATTCGTTCTTTGTTCAATTCTTTTTCAGTACCTGCATCAGCCACTCCCACGAAATGTGACGGTGACTTTGGCGGGGAATGTTCAGTAACTCACCTAACCGCTGACATTTCCCGACTTTCTTGCCAGAAAACGCTGGTCCCCGATTTATGCTGTTTATTTAGGCTTTCATTTGATCGAAATTGCCACGTCAAATGTTTCTCATTACCCTAGAGGACTGTGCGGGTATCAAAAGGATGAAATATTGCAGAGTACTACAACGGGATCGCTTCGAACTAGAGGAAGCAGACATTGCACATTGTTAATGTTATCCAGCGATTTCGTGATTATCGCATACATACAATCTGACTGTTCCTCCTAATGTACCCGCGAGGGAAGCAAGACGTGCTGGGTGACGAATAACCTGAGCGTCATATTTACTAGACGTCAGTCAGAGGCTAGTCCTGAACCTCATGTGTAAATTGAGCTCCCATTAATGAGTGATGTATTAAGGTCCCCATGACCAAGTCGTCAAACCGAGTAACAAATTTTTCTAGTTCAAATCAGCATTAGCCTTGGGATTATTTCTTTGGTGGACGATGGACCGTCAGAACTTCAGGCTTTTTCGATCTCTGTACCTTTATTGTGTCGCGCGTAAGTTTTTCTACACAAGCAGTCCATGTTTTACATAGTAAGCACTCCTCCTCCCTGGCGTCATGTCCTATCTTTCCGAGATCTAAGTAGTACCAATTCGCGGTCAGCGACGTTTTCAGACAACCAGGTTTCCGTGAAAAAGATGACGTTAATTGAGAGGTCACAGATGTGGACTTTCAGCTAATTTAACTTAGACAGAATACTCTGTACCCTGGTGTACATAAGCCTGGGTTTCATTTTCTGGAGTGATTGGCTACAGTACAGTTCGAGTTCCCATTTAATGAACCAACCGTACCTTCATTCGAATTGCCTCCGTCCATCGGAATATGGAAGGGTGGGCGCTTTTCTGGTAGTTGTAAATGGATAGACTTTTTTTTTACCCCTTTTGCAATCTCATTTTCAATTCCCGAATTAATGTTCAGCGTTTCATTCTCTCTGTTGGTGTGTGAACCGGTTAAAAAATGCCCAGCTGGTGAAAGAATATGTCTTACTAGTTCCTGACTAGTTAGCATTACCTTGAGTACTTGCGGGCGTGGACACTCCGATATGTTGACTGAGAACTTCCCAAAATTTAAATATCTTGAGCACCTTGACTTCCTCAGTGGACCGCAGAATTTAGTTAAGGAGACCTTTGTAGTGACCTAGGTCTGCCTAGACTCCCACCAGCTGCGGATTCGGGAAGCTGTTGAATTATCAAGCATGGCCTTCTTTCCATGTTTTCATTAGTCGTCTCATCCCTTTTTACGAACGTACCGGTAACGGAAACAGTCGACTACCTTCGTGATTTCATTGCCGACAATGAACAGGATATAGGAATACCAGTGAATGCCCTCAAGGAATTGTTATTGAGGTGTGCCTTGAACGTGCAGTTCCTATTCGACAACAATCTACATAGGCAGATGGACGGCGTAGCAATGGGCTCTCCCCTTGGCCGGCTTTTGACGATTATATTCATGAGATAGTTAGGAGCTTTCCAGCTACGTACCAGATCAACAATTTAAGATACTATGGGCGGGTATGTGGACGAAATATTCTCAATTGCACCGACACAAAGTGGCATCTCAATTCTATTCGATGACATAAATCAGGCGCACCCATCAATAAAATTCACTCTGGAAGAAGAACACTCCAGTTCATTCCCTTTCTGGATGTGCTTCTGAGTAGAAGACTTGACGGCAGCATTCGACTTAGCGTATATCGTAAGAAAACGTGGTGCGGACAATATACCCATTTTGGGAGTTTCGTACGGCTAAACGTTAAAGGTAATTTAGTCCGTTGTTTAACAGAGTGATAAGAATCTGCTCAGTTGATAGCGTTGAGAAAGGGCTTAAGATTATCGACCGCCTCTTTCGCCAGAACGGGTATCCTGATCGATTCATTGCTAAGAACATGGCCGAAAGACCACAAAAGCCCCCGATACTGACGGCAGGAAGGAAAAGGCTCTTCATCAGGGTCCCCCTTCAAGGGGATGCACCAAGTGAACTCTTACGAAGGCGTCTAACTCAAGCTGTATCACAGACCTTTCCAGCAGCTGACACCCGTGTACTGTTCTCCACCAGTCCCATCCTATACGGGAGGGCAAGGAAAAACTACCAGATCAGACAACCTCTATGTGTATTTACTCCTTCACCAGCTCCTGTGGGGCAGAATATATTGGTCGTACGAGTCGGTGTTTATTCAAAAGAATAAAAGAACATCTTCCAGCATGGTAGGAAAGGGTCAAATAAAGAACATAAACAGCTCGGTCCTCGTGCACATGGTAGACACGGACCACCGTGTAGTCGCCAGAGAGGCCTTCAGAGTGATTTACAAAGTCCCATCGAGAGTACGATCTGGCCCCTGTGCTGGTCCAGTGCATCTACCACGTGGCCCGTTTAGGAAGCAGCTGCGACTCTGTGGACGCACGTGCGTCCGAGTTCAAGTTGGTCGAGTGGCTCGTTGCGGGGGTGGATGACCTTGAGGTAACAGGGTCTTGAACAAGGACGCCAGACATGACCATGATGACTGTCGGCAACACACTTACCCGATCAGCCAATGCCAGGCGTCGATAAAATACTCAGGAGGAAAACACTGGCACGTTCACTAGCTGTCAATTTACGCGCTCATGTGCGCCTGGGCGCATGCCGGTGCGTCTTGCGCACCGGCATGCGCTCAGCACACACCACTGGCTGATCCCGCTAATCCTAACTGTTGAGGTACGCCCATTATTTTCACCGCTCCAACTGTTCCCTGCTCATTGTCTCGCCCTAAGGATAAACCAATCGGAGTGCCCAAGTCAGTAGGCGACCACGCCGACTGAAGTCATCATGTTGACACACCCGTTTATCACATGCACGGGGGCGCAACTCCTCAAGTGCACTGACGCTACGGGGTCCACAAACTAGTGAATCATTCAAGCAACACCAAAAGTG